GGGATAAGATGTTGCTTGTTGCTATGAATGTTGCTGGATGGTGGCACAAATGTTTATTGGGTGCGACTAGAAATTTGATGGGGTGTTGCTCGAATATTACTTGCAACTTGGCAGTCTGGCGTAACAGGCTCGCACCCGCCGATGTTGCACGCAACATGGAGCGTGTGCGTAAGAAACTTCAACGCGCTGACTGTATCCAGTTTCTATAGTTATGCCTAACGTGTGGCTTCGACCCACGACCTAAAGCCGGGCGTATCACTTTGTATCTGGCCTTGGTTCCTTTGTCTAACGTATGACTACTGTTGGTTGAGTTGTTATTCATACACATGCGCTCACGGTACCACAGACACATATGCCATTAAAACTAAACAACTCTACCAGCTCTATATATATATCACAGATTTATACCTATACTAACGTATTGTCTAAATATCACAGGTTAACGCCTTAACTTAGTATCACAGTTACAATCACAAGTTTGTTTTGATACTTAACCAGTACATCACAGATGAAGGATACACATGGCGGTTGCTATGTGAGTCATTAAATAAAAAGATAAATCAACATATGAATCGATAAGTAAATATAAAAATAAATAAATAAATAGGAAAATAAATAAATAATTAAATACTAAATAAATAACTAAATAGGAATACGTCAGGTGGACAAATAAATTCTTAGGAAGTCAGTATGTAAACAAGCAAGTAATTAAATACATACATGCATCACGGGCACAAACAGGTAGTCACGCAAAACATACACTAAATAATTATTAGACAGCACATTATGCCAAGAAAATGTCTTTGGCATGATAAACTCCGACCTTTTTTCCATTAGTATCCTCAAGTTCGTACATAGAGTTACCTACGGGTTTAAGTACTATGCATCTTATCTGTTTCGGCCCTAACTTAGCATTGTAATTATCAGGCTGAGAGCTCTGTTTAAAATTTCTTCGATACACAACCTGGCCGATCTTGAAAGTCACTTCTTTACTACGTGTATTGTATGTTTTCGTACTCCTTTCGTGCGCCAGTTTTAGTTCTTTCATTATATTATTTCTGATTAGTTGCAACCGATCGGCCTGTATGTCCATCTGGCAATCAATGTCCTTAATGGTGCTGAGTTTTCGGCATATCTNATCGCCACATATAATAATATTTTCGTAGTCTACTACGAAAGAAGAAAGGGATGCAAAAAACGGATTAAGGGATACATATTTGTTTGGGTTATATACACACGAGATAAGAGCCTTATTAAAACGGTCAGACAATTCGACGAACAAAAACTCCACGCCCCCATCGTTCGACTGACAGATTGTGCGCATGCTAATGTGGTTCTTGCAGTAAATAGCAACGCCACCGCCTTTTTTACCGACCCTGTCATTGCGCACTAACTTATAGCTATTAATGTTATAGTAAGCATCACACACATCACTGACAAACCAAGTTTCGGATATACATATAACGTCAACACCTGAGGACTGGAAAACATGTCTCACATAATCCATTTTTAAATTGTTCAGGCTCCGCGCATTAAAGTGAACCACCCTAAGACCACTCTGCTGGGAACATAGAATATTTAACATAGCAATACTGTTGTCATTAACGCTATTAGTTTTGCTACTCAGAGACAACATGCAAGCAGCAAACAAAAGCAACCTTTAATGGAAAACAACAACCATCAAATATACGTTTACGGCACAAAACAGAAAGATGAACCAACTTTACATAGTTTACAATAACATTTAAACAAGGCATATAAGAAGATAACATAAATAAGAGTTGCAAAGAGTACAGCGTATCAATATACAAGTTTAAGATCATCAAGCTTGTCAATTTTTATTCCCGAAGAGTCTTTAGAAGTCTTAATGAATACGTCTCCACGCAATGTGAATGCGGAGGCCAATTTACCCGCTCTTCTTAGTCGAATTGCTTCTTGCAAGATCTTTCTCTTATTCGAGCTCAAACTCTCGAAGATAGAGAAATTACCTTCAAGCCCCACAGCAGCTAATGAAATAAGAGATTTTGTACGCCTACGATATTCGCCAAAAGCATGAAGAGTACGATTCCGATCATGCGAAGAGTAGAATTTAACGATAATCGCACTATTAGGGCTGTTGTTGGTTGGCCTGGAGCGAAAGATGTCACGTATCTGCGGCACCAAGAAATCAATAGAGAGGCATATGTGGTTAAATATACTCTTTAGGTTTTCTCCTTCAGAAAACGGTAATCCAAATACAACAGCGGCAGTAGATTCCTCAGGGGTATAGGAGTTTACTCTCTCTAGTTGTGCACGCAAACTCTGCACCTCACTATCAAGCAGCTCTTGCCTACTTTCTAAAGCAGATATACGTTCAGCAGATTCTGTTAGTTTGATGGAGAGCACAGAAATCTCCGTATCAATTTTATTGCAAAGAGCACGCTCCGCTTCCGCAATTTTGTTAGAGAGACCTTCAAACAAAGATTGGAGTGTATCGGATTGACGTTGTACCTTTTGCTCAAGCTCTCTAAGTGCAGTTAGGATAGATGGTAGAGCTGCACTCTCATCCAGTTTCGCTGCTTTCGAAATTGGAGAATCTTTGCTCAAGCGACGTTTAGCAGCAGCAGGAGGGGGAGACATACCTTCAAGTTCGGCAACAACAAAAGCAGTACAAGCAGTATTTTAAGCGTTTACACCTCAGCTTGAATCGAATCAAATGACAAACGGCAACAGGTATATCACCAAATTTAGTTTCACCAGAAAACGCAATACACAAATATATCATGCGCGGAAAACCACGTAGAAAATAAGAAAACGCAGAGCAAAATAAAAACACGTCTGCACTGTATAAATTTCTCTTTCTTATATACCCCAGGAACTCTACCTCTGCTCTCATAAACTTTGTTTTTGCTATGTTTGCCCTGACGTTGGCGTCTTCCAGCCTTTCGAATACTATATCGATATTTTTTCATATACTCGTCTAAATCTTTACCAAACACTATGATATCGGCAATATAGACGTAGCATGTTTTCCCAATATGTTCCTTCAAGACGTCGTCTATCATGCGCTGAAATATGGCCGGCGCATTCCTCAGCCCAAAAGGAAGTCTTAAAAATTCGTACTTCCCATTCATGGTTGAAAATGCTGTTTTCGGGATGTCAGCCTCTTTGATTCCTATTTGGTGGAACCCGGACGTAAGGTCGACGGTCGTTAAGTATTTGGCCTGGCCGAGGCTGGCTAATGTTGCGTTGAGGTCAGGGATTGGATAGGTATCGGGTATCGTGATTGTATTTAGGCGTTTAAAGTCCACTACCATCCTGTATTGCTTTTCTCCGGTCGGCTTTGGTTTTTTAGATACCACCCAAATTGGAGAATTGTAAGGGCTTTTGGATGGACGAATAATACCTTCGTCGAGTAGTACGGAAATCTGTCTGTCCACCTCTTCTCTCATATTCCCCGGGCAGGGATAGCTTTTGGCGTATATAGGATCTTCTGTGGTAGTTTTTATTTCGGCCCTGACAGACGTTCTAATGTTAATTTTTTCGCTCAAAGGCTCAAAGAGATGTGAATATTTTTTAAGTAGAGATTTCAGAGCGGGCAGCACTGCCTCCGGGGTCGATACCTCAGAAAAATTAATACCCCAACGGTCTTATTCTTGAGTGGAATTTTTATATCTGGATCTATTTTCAAGGTATGATTTTTTCTATCTATCACAGCCCCCAATTATTTCAGGGTATCGTCGCTTATTATAAAATCAAAAGAAGTCAGCCCTGGTAGGGCATAAAACGTTAGCACAGTATCATTCCCCATACTGTGAAAAAATTGTCCACTAATTTTTTTGTTTATTGGAACGAGCCCTGCAACAGTTTGCACTGAAAAGGGTGGTTCAACCGGAGTTGAGCGGGGGGCTAGTTTGGGATTCACAAATTTTTGTTCGCCCCTGTGTCGACAAGGAACTTCAGGGTAATATTGTCTTTGGTTCTCCTGGGTAACTGCTACTTGCTTCCATGTTGTAGAGTCTTTGTTGTTTTGGAAGTCTTTCAATTGATGATGCTGGTCCTCTTTTAAACGCGTTGTTGCTTGCAGGTCGATTCATGTAGTTTACCTGCTTAGACTGAATGCTGCCATCGATTTCCATTTTCTCCGCAGGTTTCGGANTATTTTCTCCGCAGGTTTCGGAGCCGCGGGTCTGCCTGGGGCGAAGTGTTGGACTCTTGGTTTGACTGTAACTTATTGTATGGCACTCTGTTGTATCCTTGGCCAGCGCTTATGTTTGTCCAGTTACAACTGTTGCGGGCTCGAGGAGGTATGGCCGGCCTCTGGTGGTTTTGCAACAGGTTATTCGTAGGAGCAACAACCCTATTCACTGCATTCGTATGCACTATTGTATTTCTTAATGTCAGGTTTTGTATGTCAAGGCAAGCTGAGTACGTCTCTGGAAGTGGTTTTGGGGTCTGGACTATCAGCATGCGTGATAATTCCGGATTAAGACCCCTAATAAACACGTCAAGGGCCCTATTCCGGCATGCTTCTATAAGGCGGAAACCGTTTCCTGCGTATAATCGTCACATCTAATTTTGTTGACGATCAACGACAGTTGGTGGTTAACTGTCGCATAAAATCGTCTAGTTTGGAATTTCTTTGAGCCAACTGCTTTTACTGGTGTTCTAGCGACCGTAAGTCCTTCTTTTCAGCGTAGTGCAGTGATGGGACCTTTTTTTATCTCAGTCCAGTCACTCTCGAAAACATTATATGTAACTAACGGCCCCTCCCCGGATTTTTTGCCTAACATGCTGAAGAATAGCCCTATACAAAGGTTTTTCCTTGATCACTTCCTAATCGGAAAGGATGCCTTCGACATTGTGTATCCATGGAATTTCCCTCAGAAGTTTGCAGCTCTTTGACACAGTCGGGGAGCTTGCCCATTTCCTTGAGGTCCTGTTCGGACATTGGCGCTCGGCTTTTCGCGACTGAGCTCCCTTGTTGAGCCACACTATTTGCTCCTTCTACACTTTCTAGCCTCCCGTCAATCCTGGTAAGGTTTTGATCTAGGATTGCGATGCTAGATTCTATTCGTGCTAATCGAGCTTCTAATCCCAACCCATTTTTTCAATTCCCGTTAGACGCCCCTCCAATTTTCTAATCTGTTCGAGGAGAGCGTTGATTCCCCCATTTAGTTCATTTACTTTTGTTGTCAGTGCGTCCATTATCTCCTGTTTCAAATATGCACGTTTTCTTTATAAATTGTGTTTTTTTGTCTGCAATTTGCAAGTTTTATACGATCTGGTCACCGGGTAATGCCAGCAAGAATATTATTTTTTGTTTTGCACGGTTATTATTTTTTTTTTGTTTCGGATCTTCGTCCTCGTGCTATGTATGTATTTGCTTTTTATGCAATCAGTTTTCGTTTAGAAAAAAAAGCAATCAGTCTCAATTTGAGTTGGAAGTCGGTTTCTTTTTTACGTTTTCAGAGTTTCCTGCAAAAAAGATAAGAAAGGAACCGCGATTAGATTAGTGAAACTTTTACCGTATTCTTATGTGTACGGCAACATGTACCAGGTTGGCGTTTCACGGCATATTAGTCTTTAAAGAAGAGTTTCAGTTAGGAAGGGCTGTGTCATCCTTTTTAGTCGTGAGCAATCAGATTGAAGGCAATCTACTAAGCCACAACTTACTTCACAACATAATCTTGCACCTATTGCAATTTCCAGTGTGTTCTTATGTGTACGCCGGAAATGCCGCAGAAATCGAAGAAGCAGTCTCCTGTGTGTTCTGATGTGTACCCTGGAGACACCACAGGCAGCTAATGCAGGAAAACAAGACATGTTAACCTATTGGCCTTCGATGAGGTGAGTATCTGCCTAGGAGTATAGGGTCAGGGACTCACCCTGTCATGTAATCGTGCCAGGATATTCAGTATTGTAAAGGTGTGGTCGTGGACGGTGTCACTTTGTTTTAATTTTCACTTTGAACAAATACTATTTATTTGTGTACCTCTTTGCTTTCGGGGTCACAGGTCCACTTACTATCATGTTATTCCTGGTTCGGTCGCTGATGACACGCCGGATATGACGTAGTAATTTACAGCTTTAGCCTGAGGTTCATTCGGGGTCACAGGTCTAAGCGAAAATTTATCACTCGGCTATTAGAGCCTTTAAGTTTTTTCGTTCTCACATTTTTATTGTTTCCTCGAATATACCCCTTCTGGGAAGAGGGGCTTTTATACTCTGTAGGGTCCTGAAAAGAATCGCACAATTAAGCTTATGTTATAAACCGGAGGGTCCCCCAGAAGGTGGTGAATGGCGGCTTCAAGGATATTAAATTATTTGGATGGACGATCCATAAATTATTTAGTTTGCTATTTGATTTTTATTGACTTCTTTGGTTTGGCCCCTTCTAGGAAGGGGAGCTTTTATACCCTGGAGTGCCCCTGGAGTTGGGGATCGCAGAGCTAAGCTAATGTTATAAACCGGTGGATACCCAAAGGTAGTCAACGGTTTCAAAATATTTTGTTATGTGGATGTACAAGCCATAAATTTTATAAGCGCCTTCACATTCAACACTTCCACTTATCACAACACTGTTCATGACTTGTCACGACCACTTGAAAAGGATTCCAGCAGTTAAGAGGATCCTTTGCATTAGACCCCACAATTAAGGAGACCCTTCCTCAGAGACCCACACTTTCAGTGGGTCCCTGCTCGGGCGCCAGTCATCGATTTCCCATCAGTGAACTCGAAAAAGTTAAAGTTGGGCCCGCACGACGGCTCCGGGTTGTCCTTTCTAAAATAAAAGACAATAATTAGTATTGTACAAGTGTATTTACCATCTACTCTCGCTGTCCAAAATAGAATGGCCACAATATATTTCTTAATACTATGACTTACTGTCTAACCGTCTGAATTAACTGCTGACGCTGCGCTTCCCATATATTCAATTATGCTAACGAATGTTCGATTATTTTTGCTGCGAGTTCAATTACCCGCACTGGTTATGCGCGCGTTTGGGGAAGAGCGGCGTCAGCTCTCCCGTCCTTTCTAAAATAAAAGACAACAAGCGGGCCCATGCGCAGACTGCGCAGACAGAGATACACAGTAAGCTCATCCCTCTTTGTAGCCACAGATAAAAGCAGACTGTTCTAATAGTTCGCGGAAATAGTAAACAGAATTATTCTTATAAACCCCTTATTTTTATTATACATATATTACGAAGCATGCATGAGATTTATAGTACATCAGAACTTATACTTATTAGGTACATAAAAACATTTTACAAACTGACTGATATATGAGTATCATGAGTTGAGGGAAACATGGTGTTACTTACAATATATCTTTGTATACAATATTTGAGGTGAAAAAATATTCAGAATTAACCTTCTGACTAAATATTTTTTTAACAGAAACAATAATATCTGAGCTAAGGGAGCCGTGCGAGAGAGACAACTGCCAGTTTATCGAACCTTTAATTATTGAATTATGTGTGCGCTCACCACTGTCGTATACGTTGTATGCGATACTGCAGTCACATTAGTGCTTCAGTACAAAATATCTTTAGTGTGGCTTAACAATGGTAAATTAAAAACAAAAATAAAATTACAGATTTCTTGACTTCAGAGGTGTTATGACCATTAATATTACCTAACAACCACTCAGGCGACATCTGACTTTTCAAATGACACCTCATTAGTGGAATTGCTTACATAGAAAAGTAGAAAAAGGGAGACTAACAAAAAAACACCTTAGAGAAGTAATATATAAGATGTGTGCGCCCACCACTGTCGTATACGGTGCATGCGATGCTGCAGTCACAATGGTGCTTCAGTACAAAATACCTTTAGTGTGGCTTCACTATGGTAAATTAAAAACAAAAATAAAATTACAAATTTCTTGACTTCAGAGGTGTTATGACCATTAATATTACCTAATAACCACTCAGGGGACCTCTGACTTTTTAAATGACACCTCATTAGTGGAATTGCTTACATAGAAGATAATTAGTTTTGTACAAGTGTATTTACCATCTGCTCTCGCTGTCCAAAATAGAATGACCACAACATATTTCTTAATACTATGACTTACTGTCTAACCAGCTGAATTAACTGCTGACGCTGCGTTTCCTATATATTAATTATGCCAACGCATGTTCGATTATTTTTTCATGGTTCAATTACCCGCACTGGTTATGCGCGTGTTTGGGGAAGTGCGGCGTCAGCACATTCACACAGGTATGTGTTATCCCTCGTATTAACTTGTTTGTGGTTTCTTGATGCTCTCTAAACACAAACGCGTGAAAGACAAACGGTCTAGCAATGCATGCTTTATTGATAAACTTAATACTTTAATTAAACATACTTATTATTAAAATTTCATTTTAAAAATACCACTGTGTCCTACTGTGATAGAAATATGTCATTTTAAAACTTGAATCATAGAAATCGACCCAGTACATCGGCTGTTTTGCTCTCACGTTTGTTTTTGGGGGTTTTAATTTTATATATAGTTAGTATAGATAACCCGGTCATAATATTTTTATTTAGGGCTCGCTCTTCATTTATGAGCATAGCACATTTAATATAAGCGGCGTAAATGCTTTTGATCATCTGTTTAGGCTGAGCAAAACACGTCGAGTTCAGGTGGCGAAAAAATTGTTCGATAGAGAAAATGGGAAAGTTGTTGAAACTGTGGAACTGAGCGGAACTTCTCAACTGTGCGTTTGTAGGACAAACAGTCAAAGGTTAGACAATAGTTGCGTTTGTTTACTCATTCCCAGTCAAATCCAGTAAAAGTTTTTACGAATTTTCAGGTTTTGACGTTTTCGTACGCAAAAACTTGCAAAGTAGGGGAAATTGAGAGAGCGACATGACAGTTGAAGTTTTTACTGTATTTTACTGGATAAATTTTAACTCGTAAAAATTGCCAGTACGAAAGACAGCTGATCGCATGTTGCTGGATGCAATTTAAACTAATAAGAAAACTGCTTATTTGTTTTTTATTGTTGAAATTGACAAAATAAACCTATATATATAATAATATATGGTTTTATTAGGAATTTGCTGCGAATAAACAAGCAATTTATCAGCTGTTCATGAAACTGGCAAATTATTACTGGATTTTCGTTCGCGTACATTTTTGGATATTTTTTCTATGGGAGCGAATTTTCAGAAATAAAGTTACTGGAGAGTTGCTGGCAAGTTACTGGATAATTTGTAAACAAACACAACTAATAGCTACATACACTGGCGGCAGAAATAATAGCCTCGCCTCACTTTGAAGAGTTTTGGCTTTATATCCACTGTTTAATATTTTTTTATTAAAGACTGGCTAGTTATACATCAAATACCAATTAATCCATTTTTCAAACTTTATACAAAAATTATAAAAATTCGACAAATTTTAACCAAACTTTTATTCAGAATTTTAGGAAACATTTTCGGTATGCAGTTTTGTAGCCCATTCAATTTTAATATAATAAGGGGCAAATTTTAAGTGGGTAGAAAATACCGTTGATTTTTGACAATTTTTTTTTGACGATGCAAGGCATTCTCTTCCATATAAAAAAATGGTCGAGCCCACTTTGTATGGGGAAGGATCATCCAATTGAAATTTGCACTTTATTGTACTAAAATTGGCTACCAAAAATGTTTCTAAAAATTCTGAACGTAAAATTTGCAAATTTCGTGAGAATTCGTTGAATTTTCATAATTTTTGTTCAAAGTTTGAAAGGCGGATGATGATGTTTGTTGTTTAACTACCTAGGCTTAAAAAAAAACATATTAAACACAAAACAAACTAAAGAAATATAGCCAAAATTCTTAAAAGTACGACGAGTCTGTTATTTCGGCCGCCAATGTTTGTAAATCTTACGAAAGCGCCCAATGTGTCACGAATTAGGAACATTGTTAGAAACAAATCTGTGTCTTATTTAATTTAGGCATTCAGCTCAAGTACAAACCACACACCCGGTACGTGCTCTACAGAAATTCGTATAGAAATAAAAAAGATTAACAGCTGATTCACTCAAACTAATTTCCGATATTTTATCTTACCAAAGAATTGACAATAGAATCTATCATACCGGTGCCTAAAACTATCCTACTTAATTGCGCCGGCAAATTGCGCTCTGCTATCACTAGCAGTAGTGAAGACGCTATAAAGGAGCTGTTAGATGAAGATAAACATAGGGAGCTGCGAAAACGTTAAAATTTTAAACTAAGATAAGTGCATAGTACACTTAGGCCTACCTGCTTTCGAACGAAGTATATCTAGTATTACAAAAATACATATGGGTCATTCCATACAATATTTACACCTCAATATATTTTTTTTTGTGAAATATAATCTTTTACATTCTTTATCGAAAAAAGAAGACACCTATTTTTCTCGTCATGATATTCGAAAATCTCTAACACAAAAATTCCCGAAATTTTGAACTCACGGAGAAGTATCTTTTTTTAATTGTTTGCAGTTAATAAACTATTTGTCGGAGAAAATCAGTTAAGGTATCAAAATATGCGTACTAACCTCGGTTTTCCATGAGAGTGTGAGATAAATTAAAATAAAAAAATGTTTGCATTAAAAAATCGCATTTTTTAATTTTTTATGTTTTTATTAACTTTATCATGTTTGATTTTTATTTTTTTCAACCTGAATAGTTGTCAAACTTTATAGAGTAAGCTGAAACAATTTGTGAATGGAAACACCAAAACTGTAGAAGTTACGAGTTTTTCATACCTGCGTACATAAACTTTAGTATAAACTTTATTATTCTTATTTCTTGCGTCGGTTTTATGTTCGCTTATTCTAACACCAAGAGCGCGCTTCGTTGTGCCTATGTACATATATTTTATTGCATGCTTCGCTAGCTTTACCATTGCATTTGATTTCGTAAACCACGTTATGTTGTTGTTCTTTATTTATTTCGCCTTTTGTTTTCCTAAAAGTTCTATTGATCGCTCTATGTGGTCTATGTGCAAATGTTATGTTTTTGGTTTGGATGCTTTTTCGTATTGTTTTACTGTTTGTTAATCTTTGTATATATGTGACGCCTGTGTATCTTTTGTTGTTTGTAGTTTCGGGTTGAGTATTGAAATGCGCAGCTTTTGGCATGTTTTTCGCTGTTGCTATTAACCTCTCAACAGCTTTGTGTGGATACCCGTTTTTATGCAATGTATTTCTAATTTTCCTGCTGTTGTCTTTTCTGAATTCCTGGTCACTTAAGGCGTAGATTTTCTTAATGAGGTTGATGACTGTATTCTTCTTTTGCGTCCACGGATGGTTGGAATGATAATTGATCATTCTGGAGGAAGCTACAGTTTTCGCATACGAATTCATTTTTATTACGTTATTTGAACGGTGAATTTCTACGTCTAGGAAGGCTAACTTGTTTCCGTCATCTACTTCAGTGGTGAATTGGATTTTACAGCGTTGCGAATTAAAAACTTTTAAGATTTCTTCCACATCATTTTTCCTTACGATAGCGAATATGTCATCTACATACCTATTTATGTATTTGATATATACAGTGACGGGCAAAACTGTAACAAGGTGTAACACCTTTTACTTCAGCCATCGCTATCTTTCCAAGTTCAACGACATTCATACTTTTGTTGTATATTCTTGTTGGTACATCCCTACTCCCTCTCTCATAACGATTTGAAGTCAATACAACCACAATAAAAAAACCAGCAGACAAAAATGTAAATTAAGGCAGATGTTACAGTTTTGCACTCATATCTTTTTAAGAACTTTTTAAGAATTTTAACGAAAAAAAAGAACTACTAACACAATGTTCAGCACCCTTTTGCTTGCTTCAGTTCCTGGATTCGATTTGACATACCTTATTTGTATCTCTGTAAAAATTCTGGATGTATATCCTCCCATATATCCTTAGTTTGCTTTCGCAGCTCATGTACTCGATTTTACGGACTTTGATACTTATTAAGCTGTGCTTTTAGTTGGTTTCGCAAATTCTCGATGAGATTCATGTCCGCGGATTATGGAGGTCATTTTAAATTAGCAAATTTTTGCTTTTGTATCCTGGCTTAGCGAACATGTGAAACACACAGTTTTGAGTGATTTTTCAGCAGAAACTCTAATTTTTTCGACTACATCTTGCAAATTTTGTTGAAATATGAACAGATACTGTTCCTTGCGCATAATGCGTACTAACGGACAAACAAAATTTTTTAAATACAACCCCAAACTATTATTGTCCGACCACTGTGATTCACTGTTGCCTTACATGATGCGCTTAATTTGGGTCTTTGAACCAATACCATGCCTGGCCATCTGATTGAAAGCGATTAATTTAGTCTTTTCAGACCAACTAACCTTCAACTAAATTTTAAAAATGTATTTTTTATTGCATTCTGTAAGGCCTAACATATCCCAATAGGCAACGGTCCGGTTTTCGTGCGATGCAGCAAAATGCTGCCACACTCGCACATGTGTTTTGATCAAATTTGCTTTTTTCTTCTTTATGATGCCTTTGCGATCAATTTGGGAATTCTTCGCCTCGCTGCCTATTGATTTGCGTTAAAGTTTAATACCTTAAGAGCTTCTGTAATAGTGGCTGCATCGCTACTTGCTGCTAAGTTCACAAGATATCATACCGTAATATTTTTTGACAGACTTCCTTAACATTTTCAAGTAGCAAATTCCACAATTTTTTGCCACTTTTCGTGCGGTCCCGCCTTTCCGCAGTAAATCTATTATTTACATTAATGGTTCCTGATTAACTATATTATTTACTGGTGATAACTTCTTCAATAAATTACAATACAGAAAAAAGTCATCTGACTTTCAACTAATTAAGAGATAACTGTCAAATGCAAAACTGAGAGTGATTGCAAACCTGTAACATCTGCCTTAATTTACATTTTTGTCTGCTGGTTTTTTTTATTGTTGTTGTATTGACTTCAAATCGTTATGAGAGAGGGAGTAGGGATGTACCAACCATGGTTGCCACTCGCCAACATTTTTTTCTACCAAAATCTCTTAAGAAAAGTTACCAAAAGTTACCAAATCTTCAATTCTTCACTTACAGCCCGATACTATGCACTTAATAAATTCAATATTTTTATAATTTGTCAATTTTTGGTTATTCATCAAGAACTCCCAGTTCTAGCACAGAAGTTTAAATCTATTTTCTTAAT